TGCATTTCTTTGTTGTTGTCGTCACACCAGACCTCGAAATTCTTAAGAAACCGTATAGTTAATGCTTCATCAACAAGTTTCAAAGCTGTAAGCCCTCTGTCGAAGTCTTTTTCCTGAAAGAATATTTGTAACTGTTGCAGGTGCGTTAACACCGGACTCTGTTAAAAGTTGTTGACTTGTGTCTCCAAATAGAAATCCTATCCCTGCCATTATGGACGTTAGCATGTGCATACCGCCCTCCAACGGGATGACACCTTTAAGCTCCTCACGCCTTGTCCAAATAATTTCTAGTGCCTTTGATGAAAGACTCATGTCAAATACAACTGGAACATATGATTGGACTTAAGCATTCACGACTTCCTTTGTGCGAAGTAGTGTTGTATACACCGTATTATAGTCAGTTGGAGTCGCCATTATAATTGGATTGTAGGAAATGTTGGAAACAGAATTGTGGAGAATCACTGGTTTCTGACTGAAAGATGTTCCAATGAGGGATGCTTGGGGTTTCTGATATGTCTTCACAAAACACTGTACAGCGTCCAAAAGCATACAACAATTCTTTCAACTTTGCTTGTTCAACAGATTGTGATTCTATTGGCTTTATTTCTTTCAATGTAACTGGAGGATCAAACACTGGTCCTGGTCAAGAGACTGGTTTATTGTATGGTATAATTCTGCAAAGACTTCCACCAGGTAAGGATTTGCTATCAAATGTTCGACTTCCTGTCCTAGGTAGACGTGGCAAAGGCGCGTCTTCGGCGCACCTCCTGGATACAAGTATACTTGTCATGGCATGCGTGGTTCGTTTACCATCAACAGTTCTCTCATTATGATCCCAATTATCGGCGACTGCGACTATGAGCTTTCCACCTTCATTACGGGGGGTTATAGTCTCTGGTACAAGTCCACCTGATGTTGTAACCTTCTGAGAATCGATGGCTTTGTTTGCAGCGGATGTGAGAAACATGCGTAGCTCTGAATATGAGATTGAGTAGCCCATGCAGTTCATATCTTCAACAAGGTGTTTACTGCCAAATTCTGTGTACAAATGAACTGCAAGTCCAAGATGTTTCGGTAATGGAATACCTGTAACAAGACTGGTCAAATCACAAGCAAGTGTAAGACATTTCTTGTCCATGTGTTCAGTTGCGTCTTTGAACGACTTGCTTTCATGAAGCCAACAAACTGCCTTATAAAGCAAAGGGTCGATGAAGTCCTTCTGAGCACTGAGAGACAATTCATCAGGTGAATAATATTGATTTTCTAGCTTTGTGTTACCTTCTAAATCCCTTTCGTAATATGCCTACAGCTTTGTGGACTATTGCTTCATCAGTCTCTTCATGGGTATCTACGTCATATTTGCACTCATTGTGTTGTTCTGTTCAATAATTTGTTGAAGATATTTTGCTTCTTTCATAGCATCGCCTAATGTTTTAGATGTTGAACAAATTAAATCTGATTTCCCCTTATGTTGTGGAACAAAAGATACATCAGGCCGAATGTCACTGAGTAGTTTCTTTAAGTATGAACTTTTGTGATTTTCAGCACCTGTACTGCCAGCCTCACTGACAATTTCGATAAATCATTTTCTTAATGTGGACAGGTAATACACTTTCTTTTCAAATATTATTGCTTGCTCATACTCATTCTTTAGTTTTTCAGCAGCTTGTCTATAAATGGGTGTATATTTGTCAATTAAAATGTTTCTCTGGGTCGTTTGATTTGTCTCATAGTATTTGGAAAGATAGCCCTTTTTGCGATGATACCTGGCTTCGACTGCCACCAGATCACCATTTTGGACACGAAGCAATCTGTCAATTACCTGCAGGTCCTGGCGTTTTTGAGCAGCACAAAGTACCTTTGCATACGTAGATCCTACTTTGTCTGAAATTTAACTTTCAAGATATGACCAACTTCTAGAATACCCCTTACTACCTTTAGTATTACAAAATGTATAATTATCACGTCTAGGGTCACACTTTTCCCAACAAATAAGACATTGCATTTTCCAGTCTAATAGTTCATTACTAGATCTAGTCTTTAGGGTTGTAGCTATGTTTTCTTTATCTTCCATGGTATATTTGTCCATGATGTTTATATTTCTGTTTCAAATCTTATACCAAATCCATCAATTTTCTGATGTTCAATGTAGTTCAATTTTGAGCAGGAATATGGTTATAAAACAATTCATTGTGGAGATTAATAACTGCCATTTATATGCACGCTTCTACTGGATGGATATAACAGACCTGACATATGAAGAAAATACATAGATATTCGGATTATTATTACAAAACTGATATAAAAATTTAAATTGCAATGTATTATTTTAGTTACACTTTTATTATTTGATTCACAATACCTTGTTGTCTGAAATTGTCAAACGCTGGTACATGTTCATATCCGAAAAAAGAACGTACTATAGTCATGTCAGGCACAACACTACCTGAAAAAATAGGTACAATAGCAATTGTTTGAATAAAAAAAAAATAATTCAAAATTAAAATTATTTTGACTTCATCATTATTATAACCTTTTTATGCTACTTATAATATTTACTTTCACCAGTGATCAACAGATTTCCTAGTGTGTGACTTAAAATTTTTATGCTTAAACATTTTGAAAATAATGCAGTTTTACAGATATCTATTTTTGACCATCATGTTTATGATAATTAAATAAATGTTATGGCCCAATAGGAGAAATGAACATGATTAAACAATTTATTATTTCCATTGTTTCAAATCTTATCCCAAATCCAACCAATTTTCTGAAAGAAAATATGTTCAAATTGTAGTTCAATTTTTAGCAGGAATATGGTTATAAAACAATTCATTGTGGAGATTAATAACTGCCATTTATATGCACGCTTCTACTGGATGGATATAACATACTTGACAAATGAAGAAAATACATAGATATTTGGATTATTATTACAAAACTGATATAAAAGTTAAATTGCAATGTATTATTTTAGTTACACTTTTATTTATTTGATTCACAATACCTTGTTGTCTGAAATTGTCAAACGCTGGTACATGTTCATATCCGAAAGAAGAACGTACTATAGTCATGTCAGGCACAACACTACCTGAAAAAAGGTACAATAGCAATTGTTTGAATAAAAAAAATCAAAAATAATCTTCATCATTATTATAACCTTTTAAGGCTACTTATTTACTTGCATCAGTGATCAACAGATGTCCTCGTGTGTGACTTAAAATTTTATATTTTTATGCTTAAACATTTTGATAATAATGCAGTTTTACTGATATCTATTGCTAACCATGAAAACTTATGATAATTGAAATGTTATGGTCCAAAAGGAAAAACGGACATGATTAAACAATTGATTATTTCCATTAATAGCATAACATTACATAACATAAAGATACATAAATAAGTTGAATTAAAAAAGAACCTTCAGAATATCAAGTTGTTCATCATTGGTGAAGCTAATTCATCTTTGATGCACCATACTCTTTAAACATTGGTTATTTAAGCAAACAAGATTGGTCGCAAATAAACAGCTCTAAATTCAAATGTTTATCACAGTCTGAAAATACATAAAATGACAGTTATTAGATGATAATGTACTGTGAAGACTTTTAAGATACTTAATTTGGCAGAATACTTCTTTGTCCGGTTATTAGTTCATATCCGACTACTAATACACTTTTGTAAAAAAATGAAAAGGGGAACACCTCAGATGTTAATATTCAAATGCAAAATGCTTGATACTGTGTTTGAAAAATCAAATTTAAAAGAATTCATTGGAATTCTGAACATTTTGTAACATATTTATTTGTTATATTGTATTTATGTCATTAATGTAACTTTATTATGTTACACTGAACCCTGATATTTCAAACAACAATACTGGTGAAAAGCCTTAAAGAAACAATAGTTGACTAAGTAATTTAAATTGTCACTTACCTGATTGTAATATTGGCTCAATAACACCTCAGTAAACCTATATTTTGTCTTCTGTTACCTTTGTTTTTCTCTCAGCACTCTCAGATGACATTGAAAATACAGACGACAACAAATGACAAAGTGTATCAAAGGGAAGTAACCAGTTGACATATAATTGTCATTGTAGGGAATTACTTTCAGTACTATGTAATATAATGTTATATCCACGGTCAATTAAGAGTGTCATTTGAAAAAAGACTGATTTTGAATTATACATTGTTTGTACAATTGTACAAATGCATAAATATCTTTTCTTCATATATGGAAGAGGTATATATTTTATAACTTGTAACCATAGCAACCACGAAATTTCAATGTAGTTGCTAACATCAAAATTGCCAAGTTTTTGTTAACATCACACTTTATGTATGCATTTCAGAGAAAATAAGTAAATCAACAACGAGAAAAAAACAATTTATTGGAAAATAAATTATCAGAAATAGATGCAAATTCAGTGATGTAAATTGTACCTGAATTTAATTGTACCCCACCCATTTAAAGTCATAACGTGTCAATGGAGAAGTGTCTATAAACAATAAATTGACATCACTGTAAAGAACTTAAATTGTAGTTTTGCACAAAAGTACAAAATCGAAAATAAGCATTGAAATTTGTTGTCATGGAAATACAAAATTGGAATCAAACTTCATTTTTGTGGGTTTTTTTTGTATTTTTTTTCATAATATTTGTTGAATTCTTTTATTTAATCCTATACAAATGACCAAAAACTAATATATTTACAAACAAATATGTATTTTCTATCGTATGTATATGTCTGGACAAAAAACAATATAGAAATTATTGAAAAAACTGCCAAATAATGATAATATGTGTTTTTTCAAAATTGTGGCGGCCATCTTGGACGCCATCTTGGATTTCTTGAATATCCGACCATTTGGGTTAAAACGAAATTTCGTTTCATATTCTGCAGACCCTTACGAACATTTTGGTATATAAAAGTTACTGTTCCCAGACGTAGACTGGTAGGGTCCTTCTTACCGGTCTGAGTTTCCTACACTATAAGCAAGCTTCAACTGGCATGAAACGGTTTGTGTTCTATTATATATGTTTCAAGATATATAAATAAATATTTTGCTCAAACTATAAAAAACTGATGACTAACTTTTGTTGACAAGTTACTTCTATATTCTTGTCCTATTGATGTAATTTTTTTTAAAAGATAAACACTGAATAAAGTAATAACAGAACTGTATTATATATATAGCCAGGGTCTTTCAAATAGAATTTCTATAGGATATAGTATATTTGAGCCATGTCACGACAAAACCAACATAATGGGTTTGCGACCAGCATAGATCCAGACCAGCCTGCACATACGTGCAGTCTGATCAGGATCCATGCTGTATGCTATCCATGCTGGTTGCGGCTGGTCTGGATCCATGCTGGTCGCAAACCCATTATATTGGTTTTTTCATGACACGGCTCATGTGTAGATGATAAATGGAAAAAAATGAAAGACATCTTTTGACCATATTGAATAATTTTTTCAGGTACAAAAGAGTCCAAGAAAGGGAAAAGAATCGTATAAAGCACCAAGTTGCCAGGACTCTGATAGAGTTATCAAGCACAAATGAGCCAGAGTTTGTTGCCACACCATTGACTGCAGATGTTTTGGACCAAGACCCAGAGCCAATATGCCAACTAACATTTGATGAACTGAACAATGATGATGACACTTGTGTTGATGAACTGGTACAAGTGACTCAAAGTCAAGTTAACAGTGAACTACAGCGACTGCTGAATGAAAACTATGCTTTGAAACAAGAATTACAGCAGGTCGAACTAAATGAATCGTCCTTTGAAAACAATGATGAGAAAGTTAAATACTACACTGGGTTACCAAATTCTATCATGCTGATGACTGTTTTTGACTTTGTTAAAGACTACATTCCAAAACAAAGAGTAAATTCAGAACTAAGCCAATTTGAAAGATTGATAATGACATTGATGAGACTGAAATTAAACTTTCCAGTGCAATATCTGGCCTATCAATTCAACACTTCCACATCAACTGTTTCAAGGACCTTTACAACCATGATTCACATTCTGTTTGTTAGGTTTAAACATTTACTTTATTGGCCTAAAAGGGAAGAACTTCGACAAACGATGCCATTAGAATTTCGTAAATCTTTCGGACAAAAAACAGCAGTTATAATTGACTGTTTTGAGGTATTTATTCAACGCCCAAAAAACCTTCTTGCCAGAGCTCAAACTTGGTCCTCATATAAACACACTAACACTGTAAAATTTTTAGTTGGGATTACACCCCAGGGTTCAATATCTTTCCTCTCAAAAGCGTGGGGTGGAAGAGCCAGTGACAAATACATAACTGAAAATTGTGGCATCTTGGGGAAACTTCTACCAGGAGATCTTGTCTTAGCAGACCGAGGATTTGACATTGCTGATAGTGTTGGCATGTGTTGTGCTCAGGTTAACATTCCAGCATTTACCAAGGGAAAGGCACAACTTTCAGCAATTGATGTTGAAACTACTAGAAAGATAGCACATGTGCGAATTCATGTAGAAAGAGTTATAGGACTTGTGAGAAACAAATATACTATCTTGCAAGATAGACTCCCTGTTGATTTTTTAATATGCGAGGAAGGCCTTCCGGTTGTTGACAAAATAGCCACAGTGGCTTGTGCACTTACTAACATGAGTGACTCAGTGGTACCCCTTAATTAACAGTGTCAGATTATGGGCAATAATAACTCTATATTGGTCCTGTTATATACCGTGTCAATGAATATTCATCCACTTTCTTTAAATTTATTGGCATGATCAATAGAGAAATGTTGTGAGTTTCATAACAAAATGTTGTAACTTTCATATCTATTTTATACATTTACATGTCGATGATAAAAGTTTATTTTATGTAAATTTTTCAGATACTGAATGAAAGATTCTTAATAAAAATAAATGTTTATAATAGTTTATCACTTTATTGACACATGGTGTTTTGTTTTAAAAAGTTACCACTAGCGTATAAGAGGAATATGTATATATGGAATATGTCACTTGCCCTTCACATATAAAGTTCGAGTCCCACACGCTACTTCAAGGGCCACCCAACGCCTTACTCCTTCAGTAAAGCTTGATACTTGTCATATGACCATTTCAGTGTCAGCGTTAGTTGAATTAAAAAAGTGCAATACAATAAAATAGCGGAAAGGAAAGACAAATAAAAATTGAATTGCAAAATATTTTAATAAGAACTTAAATAACTTTAATCATTACTCATTATTTTATACACAAGGGAATACCAGTGAAGTTATCTTAAATTAGCAACAAATGAAGTTGTGAATGAAATGCATTAACATATTTACATAGACAAAGCACACATATTTATACATATATATATATATATATACAGTACTTAATACATAGACAAAGCACACATATTTTGTAGACATATTAACATTACTTACATACACAAATCATATTCAGGTCATTAATAGCACATATGAATTGACACTGTCTTATATTATATACATCAACTTTGTAATACAATGTCTAGCATATTTATATCATAAGCACATATGAATTGGCACTGTCTTACACATCAACTTTGTAATACAATGTCTAGCATATTCATGTCATAAAGGTCACATATAAATATATACTGACTAGCATGTTCATATCAAAAGCACATCAAAATTATGATACTGCACTATCTAGCATTATTCATGGAATAAATTAAATTGCACATCTCTATATAAACTATATATATTCAGAAAAATCACATGTTTACAGCTGACGGTTTAAAAGTACATGATGTCTGTATTTAGTTATACTGGATTTAGGTAGCTTGAAGGTTCGGGACAGTCATCTTTGATTTCATGTACAGTCATTGAAACACTTAACAGTGTTTTGATTTTTTAGCTGGTCGTTTATTTCTACATTCATTACAGTAAAACTTCCCCCGTGGTACTTTGGTCAAGTTAATACATTTAAAATGTAGCCACACATAGGGACAGTTCTGGTTGTCACACCCAATAACATCCTCCCCATCTTTATATGGCTTCTGGCAGACACATATAATTTCACTTGCCTGTGAAGAACTAGGTTCTGTTACTGTTTTATTTGAATTGTTTGGCATTAGGGTTCTCTCTCTAGAGATCAAGCTTCCTGTAAGTTCTAGCAGTATAACATTTTTAAAGTATGATGTGGTTTTTTTCACTATTTCTTCCTGAATAACGGGCAATGGCTCAATTCTTTGAATTAAACACTCATCCTTAGTCCAAATGACAAACTCACAGTATAATTTGTTGGTCACTAAGAGCTGTGTCTGAACTTGGTACATATACTTGTGCTGGTGTTTCAATGCCATGTTTTTGTCCAAGTATTCCAAATCTTTCACATTACCGTCCTTTACTGAATATGGACACTTAATTTCAACAAGTCCATCACCACAACATGAACAAGAAACAATGCCATCCGGGCTAGCTCCTAGGTGTGGATGGGCAGGACTAATAAATAGGCCAGAGTTGTCTACCTTTAAATCATCATGAAGTGGACTTACATCTCTTCTATACTTCAAAAGTGCCTCGCGCTCATGGGCTATTCCCCATTCTGTTGCTTTGTTTGTAAATCTACTTCCTGTCCCACAAATAGCCTTTACAGTTGATAAAGCTGGTTTGTCTTCCAAACCTGAACACACAAGTTTTACATTTGACGCTGTAATACGTCCATGTCTGAAGGCATGCCACTCTTTACACTTAAACTGTTGCTTGGTTATAATTTCCGCATTTTTGGCCTGTTCGCAAGTAACAGTCAATGTCTGTTCCAGTTGAGCACATTCACTGATTAGTTCTTCTCTTTCCATATTCATGAATTTTTCATCACGAAATGTCCCAAGTGATATTGGTAACTTCCCCTTTCTAAGAATATCAGGGATATAGTTTTCCTGAAAGTTCTCTTTCACTGCCAAGACTGCTGGCTTAGATTTGCATAATGATAACACATGTGAAAAATGTTGCTCCGTTTCCAAAGTTGGCTCCTCTACTTTTGGTAGTTGTAGTGCTCGTTTGGGTGTCTTCTCACCACTACACAACAAATGATTCAAGTCCTTTACCTTCTTTTCGGCTGAGGAAAAGTCTATGTCTTTCACTTCTAAATACTGAACCTTGTCGACATAAGACGGCACAGGCCAGTATGCTTTCTTCTGTGTTACAGTCAAGTTGGCATTTGCTCTGTGTGTTGCTTCTACCCAGAAGAGTAAGGCACCTATGTGACTGCACACTTCACCCAATCCCGCCATGCAGTTACAGTGAGCAGATTCGACAAAACCATCTATCCTAACAATTGCCCATGGTGTCAATGGTGTGTCATTCATCCTTTGCGAATGTCGTACCTGCAAATAATGAACACATTGATAATTTTCAGCTCAAAGATATTAATCATATTCATAAAATATCATCAGTGATTGACACCTAATTGAGTTTAAATTCATTTATAAATATATTAATCATTTTAATTTATGTCATGGAAATTACCTGAACGAATCTCATAACAATCATGTCAATTATAATCGCAAAGATTGCAAGTCCCTTTTAACCATGTCCCAGCACGAAAAAAAAATTATATAAGTTTACAAAAAATTGGTATATTCCCAGGCCAGGGTAAAATAATAATGTGTATTTGCTATCTTTTCATTTTGGTAATAAGAAATCCTATTTTAATGACCAATTTACAACTGTGTTTATTCCAAAAAGAAGATATTTCTTAATATATATTGTGCTGTTTTCTTCCACTTAAAACTCACAAAATTATATGACCTACCCTGCCTTTCACCAGAATCCTTTCATTTTTCGTCAAAGTACGAACATCTTTCACCCAGCCATTGTAACAGTGGTTAAATGAGTCCATAGATTTAACAGCATTTAACTCGTCCATTGTGTAAGCACTTTTAGAGTTAATAAAATAATTAACAATGTCAAAGTACGAAACCGCTGGGAGTGAATCAACATCGCTAGACATTTCCTCATTATTTACACAATACGGGTCACAAACCGATCACATTAGTTTTTTCTTCGTATCTTTTGCGATGTAAATCATCAAGACTTTCTTTGTAAACGTCAAGTGCTTTTGTAGAAGCCATTATTTAGCATATTTTGTACTTATTTATAAATGATACTGAGATTGTTTTTCCTATCCTACCAAGATGGCGGCTGTTTACGAAAACGCGCACCTGCTAGGGATTGTGGGAACTATCTAATGGTGTAAATGCAAGCAAATGCTATTTTTTTTCTCTCGACATCTTGCGATGACAAAGATCGATATATATAGCGATCAAGGCGATTAATCTCTAAAAAGTTAACATCCAAAGACAATTAATGCTGTTTCTTGGTTAAAATCCTCGCTTAAAGTCATAAAATAACATATGCATTTTCGACTTCCATAAAATTTTGAAAAGTGCCGTACGGCTAGCCAATACAGCGTGTCCTTGCTAGTCGTACGTGACTCACGTAAGGCTAAAACTTTTGGCTAGCCGTACGGGCCCGTACGCTAGCCACTTCCATTATAAAAACCCTACCTAAAACGTGTTCTTAATAGTACATATAATTAAATTTTTGCAGTTTGATTCTGACTTTCAAATTTAAAGGTGTGAACATATGTTATAATTGATGTACACATTTCAAAAAATATAAGCAACTCTTTTTGAAAAGTAAATTGTTAACATGTCTTTCAACGTATGATGCTGCGCATCGTAATCGTAGCCTAAAATTAACTGCAGGCAAATCATTTTTATGGCTGCTCAAAAGTCTAATTTGCATAATTTATTCACACAATTGCTGGTTCTTACTACTTATGTCTATTACTGCGCACTGTCCATTTTTAATTGTTCCTAATTTGCACAAATGCTCCTGTCACACTGTGTACTGACGATTTTTATTGCCCTTGTATGCCTCTGTGCGACAGACCTTTTGATCATGCACAATGTTGCCCTGATTGGTTAATCACCCTTTGTCAAATATGCTAATGACGAAATAGACATCTATTATTTTACGCTTCATCAGTGAAACTGAATGACCTTCATACTGTAGTAAATTACAGCACGTCATAAATAGCAACACATTTTTTTTCAGTTACCATTAAATCATTTTAAAATATTAAGTAGATTTATGATTTTTTGTTTTATTGGATTAAATTTACGGTAGTAGAAATGCGTATCTGTCGGGGAAAGGAATTTGGTATGTAGATATATATTGGATTTAGTTGATATTTTACCTGGAAAAAAGATACATGACCGGCGATGTACCCTATTTGGACAGCTTGTCTAGCGAAAATTAATAAAAAAATAAAAGGATATATCGTCAATTTGAAGAAGTTTCTCATAGTACCCAAATTAAATTTATGGTTTATCTTTGAAAATTAAGCAGTCATTGCTTAAATCATGTGGTGGGATCATCAGCAAGCTTGAATATCGGAGAAATAATAATTAATGTCGCAGCGTCTTCAATTAATTAATTAAAGCAATTCAGTTCCATATGATGTTTTCATAAATAATATATAATGTACGCAATAAAATTAATAAGTTCTTCATCAAGATATATTTCAGTTGTACCAGCGTGTACACCTATACCGGAAGTGGGTATTACACGTCACAATCTCGGTCTCGTCTGTCTCGCGAGAATGACAGAACGCCAAAATGGCGGCGCCCATGAACTTATTTCTCAAGTAAAAAATAGTGTCTTAAAACACGAATTTCTCTCTTATAGGGTTGATGTCAATAGGAAAACTGTCATGGTTCCTCTTTTTAAAGGATGAATATTTATATTAGACAGACATCAATCCATCCATTCCTATTCCTTTAATTCCGTATGTTGAAAACGGGAATGCACGAAGTTTGAATTGTGAATTCATGAAGATGAAATCGGGAATTCATGAAGTTGAAATGGCCCTATCAGTCTTTCGTAGATACCGTATCCGTTCTGTGTATTCATTCTACTGTGTTGGAGGTCCTTATCCGAAGACTGACGGAAAGGGCCGAAAAGGTGTGATTTTTATATATATCGAAAGATAATACAGGTTCGGATATACATGTAATAAATAGTACAGAAACAGTAAAGTTCGCAAATGCTAATGCAATTAAGTACGTTTATTGTTCTGTAAAGGAATATGTTAGCTTCATATTATTTGTTAATTTTCGAGGAAATGAATAATCAATTGCGTATATATTTATAGAATTAGCAATCTGCGGTATGCAGAACATTCGAATACTAGTTCTGACGTATAAATCTATAAATAGCTATTGTACCTCGAGTAAGGATGGTTATTGCATAACAAATAGTGCTAAATCCATAATTATCTGATATGATATGATAATTATGATACGATATGATATGATATAATATAATGTAATATTATATGATATGATATAATATAATAATTATAATATAATTCAATAATAAAAAATTGATAATGGTGGTAATAAATATTACAACATCACGAATGATAGTCAAGTTTTAAAATGTTTAAAACAGAAACATAGGGTTCTAAATGGTTTTGATATGCTAGAATATCCTTTTCAGCGGTCATAGCGGTGGTACCTTATGGCTTCCGTAGATTCAATAGTCACGACATTTACCTGTCAAATATGTGGTAAATACTGTTTTTGAAATGAATTTATTGCATATGTGTCCAAGCCGTGTGATCATGGTTACTTCTATGACCTGTAAGTGTCTGTTCATTTGCCTTCGTAGCATTTGCAAAGTAGTTGTTTGGCGGCCTAGGGACGTGACATGTTAGGAAATTCTTTCTTTAATATAAATAGTATAACCATTATTATCTTTATATCATTATTATAATTATATTTTTTTAATTAAAATTAGTATTATTATCATTATTATTATTTTTTTATTATTATTATTGTTATTATTATTATTAATCAAATGACAGCAAAAGTAGTTACTGTTTCTATCACACTCACAGTCATTCACACAAATGACTTCAATGGAAATCTCTTCTCAACTCTCGCATATTATGTTTATTATCTTATTTAATTTAAATATTTCATAAGTGACAACAGAAATAAATCAATATAACAATATAATGTCACTTGATGATTAATCAAATAAGCAGTATTTAGTTTAATATTTTACTGCCTTAAGATAATCTCATAAAGTGTACTCTGGGACATTGATTAAACAAAATCACCTATTATGCACATTTAAATTATGTCTGGTCATGATTATCTCTTCACTGGTATAATCTTATGAGTAAACATTCGAATGATATCACTATGTAAATACCCTCACATAAACATTAAGACTGATTTATTGTATGGCGTTTGGACAATGGGGTTTATAAAGCAAAGTCTCATGTTTTGTTTCTTGCTAGTGCTTTTTTCATATCTTAAATCGTTATTGGAACCAAAGCTCCCTTTGGTGTTTGGCGGATATTATCACCCAGCCTTTAAAAACGTGGCGGACAAATTCAAAGAGAATTTAAAAAATGGCAAAGAACGCGGAGGAACTTTCGCAGTCTACCATAAAGGGCGCTTGGTTGTGGATATATGGGGAGGATATGCTGACGAAGAAGCACAAATTCCATGGCAACGAGATACCATGTCGATTGGATTCTCAAATACGAAAGGTATCGCTGCCTTAATGGTGGCACAAATGGCTGACAAGGGTGTAATTGACTATAAAGCTCTTGTTTCGGATTACTGGCCAGAGTTTGCTGAAAGTGACAAAGGAAATATTACGGTTGAAATGTTGATAAGTCATCAGGCGGGGTTAGCGGCTCTTGATGACCCAATAAACATACTAGACATAAATGGTGATCCAGAAAAAGTTGAAAAGAGTCTGTGTTCTCAAAGACCACTTTGGCCAGCTGGTTCAGCACACGGTTATCATACGTTGACATACGGTTTATATATAGACACGTTAATGAAGAAAGCTGACCCAAAAGGTCGAACAGCTGACATAATATTCATGGAGGATATTTCCAGTTTGTTTGACGTTGAAATGTACATGGCAGTGCCAAGACAAGAATTTTATCGTGTTGCAAGGGTTTATGAAGACCCTGTTTGGAAATTTCTTTATAAATGCTTATCCAGTCCAAGGTATATCCCACTTTTCTTTCGTTACATATTAAATTCGAATTCATTAGTTGCAAGGGCCGGGAAAGCAGTGAAAGAATTCTCCCTTGGTTCAAATATCCATAACAATCCATACTATAGGGAAATGCCGCTGTCATGTTGCTATGGTACCGGCACGGCTCGGGGTTTTTCAAAACTTTACGGCATCATGAGCAACGGAGGTATCAACGGAACCAAACGATTCTTATCTGAGGAAGCTATTAATAAACTTACAACACCGATAGTTTCAGGGTTAGATGAAACTATTGGAATACAGGTAACGTACGGACCAGGAACTCTTATGAAAGCTAATCCACGAGGGGATCCAATGTTCGGACACACCGGCCACGGCGGACAGGTTGCAATGGCAGATATGAAGAATAACCTCGGTATTGCGTACCTTACAAATTTCATATCGTTGCACGGACTTGGTGATGATCCGAGATATGTTGACCTAGAAAATGAACTTTATAAAAGTCTTGATAAGTATGTAGCACAACAAGAATGATATAACAGTGTGCTAGATAGTGAACTTTTCATTAGTAATCTTTATCAAATACGCTTTGACACGCGATATGAATTGAAGTTTTTACTGTTATAAATGTGCATATAACTTTATAATATACGCGAAAGAAATTTTGAATTAAATGTTTATGTCACAATTAAGTGGTGTTGCTGTATTATTGGCTGTATTATTTATTTCGTCCGTTTCGTATATAATTCATTGATATCTACCAAGTAATTACCTATTGATGATTTAAACATGGTGTACGAAAGTTCATACTTAATCTAAAAAAACATTTAGAATCCTAGCATACATCTTTTGAAAATGATAAAACCTAAAGCAATCAAAATAGTATTTCAAAATACAAATACATTTTGTTTGAAACACATTTTTTTACAAGACGATTAGTATTCAACGCCTTGTAAAATGGGCCCTGGTATTATAATTTCTTCAATGTTATCAATGCAAAGAAACGGTAAGAGCTTTTCGAATTTCTTTTTCAAAAGCGCATACTTTCGATTGACATTATATCTATTATGTTGTATTCATAACCTTATTGATCATCCTCACAAAAGTTGTATATTGAATGTTATTGTATTATCATATACAACGCAGCGCGTTCCAGACTCAAGCTATTTTCACGTATTAAGAAAATGATATTGCAAAGCTATTTATTGCTAGGTGTATTAATCATTATAGTATTATGGAAGTGATAAATTATGAATTTCAGAACATTTACCCAAAATGTGCAAAAATGATAAAACAAACCCGTACTAGTTACGAAGTACAAACTATAGAAATAATTATAATAATAAAATACGTTTTTATATTGTATACAACATCACAAACACATGTGTTTTGACAATATTTATACACTATTAAACTTTTAATGCTAGTATATTTCCCTCAAATACCCTGTAGCTCAAATTTTGAATGGTTTTATATAATAAATCTGATGCTCCAATGAGGATTTATCAATATTGTGAGTTCAAAAAAGCATAATTTGCAAAAATATTACCGAATTCACATTTCATGTAAATGAAGGGAAGTAATTATTATTTTTTTTTTCTCTAAAGTGAAAGCCATTTTAATTTTGCAAAAAGAAATAAATGGATCTATGTTAATGATTACAGTCATAAAATGCACTTAAACATTTGTAGTTCATATTAACATATTCTTAGATGTTTGGAAAATGTTTAAGAAGAAGAAGAATTTTATGCATATATTAAATTTCACTTAAGTGTGATTACATCCTTAATTACAACATACAGGATCTTAAAATCGGACATTTTCAAAATATGTTTATTCCTCTACTTCTCTTCCCTATAGGCGTATAGTTATATCATAATGATATTTTTAGCTTTGGATTAACAGATACTGACATCTGGAAAACACTCCCACGCCATTAATATATATACATATATAATTAAACAAAAACACATTATTGTTTGTACAAATCACTTGGCATAGGTTATTATGAAGAAAAAAAATATACATGATCATGTACCGTGGTATAATAACATTGTAAGATAATTTTACGTTCAACTTAAAAGAATAAATTATACGGTTTTCAATTTGACAATATGTCTGTATGTAACTATACCATGAACCTTTAAACTGACATCAAGTCCCAACACGTTTAACAGTGTGTATATCAGATATAAAAAGAAAACTGTAATATACATATTCATATACATTCATATGAGATACGACGATGAAATACTTTTATCCCTTCACATGTATACATGAACATATTATTAGAAGCAAATTCCCCAAAATCGTTTAAACAGCAATTAAAAGTTCTTTATTGTAAATGATTCATTATTTTAAACATTTAAATTGTAAAGGAGAACAATTAATAGATATCTGAATATATGACTTTATCAATGGATTTGTACTGGTTGTGTCGGGTTTTTTTTCTATCTTTCTATTTTTAGTTCAACAACACTTTGCAGTAGCCAAATTATGCTGTAATAGTCGCTTGTTTAATATTAATTATTTTACAATACCTGACAAATTACTCGTTGGCAGGGCGTGTTTAACATTCCTGGCAGACGAAACAATCCTAATGCAAGTACAACATATTCTAAATCGTTGTGGGTTGAGGTAAGAAAGAATTTCGTCAGTCTCAAAGCACAGAAATAGCTTAATTGGCTGTAAAATATCTTTTATATTCTCAATCCTGTTGAATCGTTTAACATTGTCTGCATATCACTGAACATTTTCGTTATTGTGAATGTATGATGTATTTTCCTGAATTCGTTATAACATAATTAAGGTTCATGGTGGTGGAAGAATAAGAATAAAAATGTCATATCTTGTTATACAAAACAATAAAAGACAAAAAAAAACCAACAAAACAAACAACAACACAAGCAAATAAATAAACAAACAAACAAAGAAAAAATCACACACACACAAAAGTGACAACAAAAAACAACAGACACACACACGCACGCACTCTCGCTAACACACTAATGTGTAATGTTTGAATTACATGTTTAATTTTCTCAGGCATTTCTCTTACTCTAAACTCGATTTTAGCTGCCTAAAAGCGACCGTACCCGTGTAAAACGTGACACCCCTACAAAATACACCTGTACTTACTCAAAGTTATCTGTTGACAAATTTTAGATATCCATGTATGTTTTAATGAGAAAATAAAAAAAGATATTTGAAATACATGTATAATCAATTTAAGTGTTTTCATTAATTACAATCATTGTTTCTAAATAATTGAAAACATATTTACGAATTAATTCCTTTGTGATTAATCAATTTTTGTCAGAGAAATTTATAAATTATCATTCGAGAAAATTCAATCCAATAGTTATGACATCGAACAATTTTAGAAATTCTCTTGACGCAATCAATTTGGAAAGTATTTGTAGCTCGAGGTCGAATAAGTAGCGTTTTAATTGTGTGTCTAAAGCTGTATTACATATTTCGCTTAAATTAGTGTAGTGCAATAAGGATGTCCTTTATTAATCTTTTATGTTTACCACTTTGATAAACATTTTCTTCATATCTCAACACGTCGTTATGATTTGTTTTATGCTTGTATGCTACGCAAACACGCATTTTATTAATATTATTACTTTATTTTTTTTTTAGAAATCAAAGCCTTAAACTTACTAAAGGAAGTTACAGACAATTAAAATGTCGCTTACCTGTTTGCAATAAAATATTTAAAGTGTATAAAGCTATATACGAGTATTTGCTAACTGCAGTTTGTTTAAATTTTGAAAATAATAATTCTAAAATGCTTCAATGAAACAATATCCATGCTCAAAACAACAGCATAATAGATCGTCCCTGAACATTTTATTCAAACAACATCATAATAGTCCGTTCCTAAACATTGTATTGTTTTTTTAAGTACAGCATTCATGTGTGTTGTATAATTGAAACATTCTATGTTACAACTGTTTCTTTATCGACTATATAACTATTGTAAAAAGCGGCCCTCAGTAAAGCAACCACCTCTATACGAGAACAGTACACTTTTTCCAATGTAAGATTTCACAAATTATTTAACTTTTGTAGAGCAACACTACTCCAAAGCAACCCATATTTTTGTCTCACAGAGCGTGTCTGTCTACTAATATTGCATTGTTTATCGATTGTTTGTCTACTGCTTTTCCTTCATCTAAATCGGTCACTCTGTGGCATTTATGAAACTACCAATGCGAACATGTGCGTGTCAAGAATACAATATATATTTCCCTAATGTTTGGTAGTATGTTCATGTTTTGATAAAAATATAATATCCTTGGACACTCACGAGAATAAGTAGGTGACAGTGCCTGTTAAGATTATTTTAGTTACGTGCTGGAAATTCTTGTCGTGACTTTCCTATAAATGTCATGAATGTCAATTTTATTCTCCGAAGCCATTCTGAGCAATTTACTGTCTGACAGTATTTGTACATAAAATGTCAACCGTAGGTAAATGTTAGTTTAGTAGAATTTCATTTTATACTTGTAAATGGTTAACACAATAGATGTTGAAGCTAGAGCGCATTTAAAACCCAAGCCCGGAGGGCTTCTGTAGATGCACATGCACGACATGTTATTTGTTTTTTGTACAAAGTTATGATTCCTTCACAAGCTTAAACAATAGATTAATTTAGAATAATGAATCACTTATTACCAATTGAAAAAGGCAGACATTTGGCAATTGATCATAATAATAGGGTCTTTTCCCTATGTCCGTATCAAGCTAATGGTGATGAATTTCACTACTTATTTGGGTGTACGTACTTAAATGACATAAGACGTAAATCTCTTCTTCCCAGGTTTTACATTCATTCCAATATTTTTAAACTTGACACATAAATGAATGGTTGTGATAAAAAGATTCTACTAAAATTATCTTTATTTTGTAAAAAACATTATGTTAAAATTTAGATAATTAATACTTCTCATTCCCGTTCCCATTTGTTACATTATAAAATACATGTTGTATTGAATTGAACAATATGATCTCCTTTTTTGTTTATTTAGCTAGTCATAATTGTATTCTTATATTGTGATATTAGTGATTTTTGACTGTTATTTTTCTGTTTGTTTGTTGCATATTATATGCCTTGGTTTAATAAAAAACTGAAGAAACTGAACGTGACCGTCATTACAGAGTTGTTTTTGATGCACCGGGTCTCCTTTATAAAGTTCAACAACAGCGAGTTCTCTATCATGTTTTCTTCACCATGCGCTGTTTTAATACAAGAATAAACGTCATAGTATACAAAAATATTACAATAATATAATTATCACCATATTATAGGGTTGGGCCAACGTTAACCGGTTTACCTGCAAAACATACGACATACATGTTTGTTTCACCAAACATAGGACGTTTTCCAATGATAAATACATTTTCAGTCGCGTGCTTCCAAACATGACATCTGGTTATTATCATCATTATTACATTAGAAAAAAATTCATCATAAAGATGAGGATGGTTATAATAAATGTTTATGTATCCTGTAATTACATTGTCAA